CCGAGGGCCACAGATTAAAAGTCATCCACTTTCGGCTTGGTAGCATCACTTTCTGTCCACTGGGCCAGCTTATCTCTCTCTGTTGATGGTATTTTTGTTAAATGTTGAGTTTGCAGGCAACTCATAGTGACCCTATGAAGGAGAGTTCTCAACGCTTGGGTGTCTTTCATCCTCTCTCCAGGTTCATAGGGTTAGGGGTTGTAATTCCCAGGTCTGACTTCAGCTAGGAAACTCTAGTGGCCTAGTCATAAGCAGCTGCACTGCAATCCCAAAGGCCTATGGTTTGAATCCACCAGCTGCTCTGCGTGCGGGAGGATAGGCAACCTCCTCTCGTGCAATTTACTGCCTCTGAAAACCTGCAGGAGAGTCAGCTAAGGGTCAGTTCCAACTCGATGGCAAAACCACAACAGCAATCCCAGCTAAGAGAGCTCAGGAAGCAGAGTTGGTAGGGAGCGGAGTTGCTAACCTACAGGCTGCTCCTCTCTAGAGGCTCAAATTTACGAGCGGCTCCTCTGTTGGACAAAAAAGGGAAGTCTCCTTCCTTGTGATTTACAGCCTCCTGGAGGACTCTACTGAAGGATCGGCTAGGAGTCAGTTCCAACTCAACAGCAATGAGTTGAAAATTCAGCTCAAAAAATCACATACCAGTTTCTGAGAGTTTAAGTTAAATCATCTCTCTAAAAGCTGTCAGTCTGGGACAGCATCTGCCCTGCACATCTTGTGTGGGTCATGGCCTTTTGATTGGTAGTGTGACTTGCTACAGTCTACACCATGAGAGCTCCAAAAAAGACATTAACAGACAAGTGTATTACTAGAAGCCTAAACAACCATTTATATGTACTCGGGCCTGCACACAGATGGTACCCAACTATGTGAGCTGGGAGAGTAATGCTATATAAAAACAATGGAACTAAATGAAGGCTGGCAAGAGTTACAGATGGAGGAGGAGGACAAAAGGAAAAAATCCTTGCTTCGAACTACAAGTCCCTCAGCAATGGCCTCCTTCTCCATCCCACACGGCTGCAGAGGACAAAGCTCCCACACACAAGGTTATTCCTGGTGACATCAAGACGTCTTCTGTCTGACTTTGTGAACAGAAACCAACAACAAATGCAGCTCTGAGAAACAGCGTCTAATAAATTATACAAGCTAGGAACCTCTTGGCCTGTTGCCTTCACTTATTTACAAAATATATCAGCTACAGAGAACAGATTTTTAAAAAAATTACCAAGTTCTTAGGTTAAGTGGCCATTTTCCACACCCTGTTTACATTAAAAACACAATGGCCAATATGCCTCAAACTCTGCATGCTCAAAAGCTTTTCACTCAAACCTGAGTCATCAGCAAGACTATCATCAAAGCATATTTACAGAGAACCTACTGTGTGAGCTGGGCCGACTTTAACTCTGAACTCTGTGCCACCCTTGCTTCTCAGGCTGGACTTCCACAATAGCTCTTCCCTGCTCATGCTGAGAGTCTAAGAAACAGTGATGCATGATTAAGAAAACCACTCAGCATAACAGAAGGTCTTCCAAATGCTTCTCCATGAGAAAATGACATATCATATTCATAGATATATGTGCATATACACATCATATACACATACTTATTCGAAGCTTGCACCTTAACAAAATAAGAACAGTCTGTTTTTGTTCCTGCATTCATTCAGTTCTCTTTAGCATGTGTGCTGCCCAAATTTAAGCATGAATTTAAGAATTCCAGGGCCCTTTTCAATGCTATGAACAGGTTCAGTTCATGGCCCCATGGTTAATCAAATGGACATTTGAAAGTCCTCTCACTGAAAACGAGATACCTTGTTGCACAAGATATAAAATCTCATGACCATTTCCTAAAAGACATTGCTCCCTTTAGCTGTGCAATGGATTCCGTTAAAGGAAAAATCATTAAAACATCTAACAATAAAAATTATTGCTGTTGAATCAAACTATGTAACACTTCCCTGGCAAAATAAAGATCAGACTTGGGAGTCTTATGCAGAATAATGGACGAGAACAGAGATAAAGGCCACAATTTAGAGATTCTAGTTATTAGAAAGTGGGGTAGCAAGCAAACAGCATGACTGTCACTCCAAAGCACTGCACCTCCTTTCACAAATCTGACATAATCAAGAAAGGCCTCAAAAGCCAGCTCTTCCACATTAATTACTTTAGAAAAGTTGAAGATGGGTACCTAGTTCCCTTAGCTAGTATCAGAATTATTTTCTTGCCTGAGGTCTCTTGGCCTAACCTGGAAAAGAACTGCCTGCCAATATATGACAAAAAGGAGCATCTCCTTTTTCATTAATGGGCCATCAGTTTCTGTACAGGGTAGTCTTGCCATCACTAACGTTATACAATCCATTTACTTCCTCTACATTAGTGACTTAAAATGCACCTTGGGGAGATACTACCAAACAGCAAATATGGAGTCAGGCCAACACTAGACTTGCAAAGACACAAAAAAAGACAGCATCTAGGATAAAGTTTAAAGAAAAAATTAGCAAGGGGGGTGTGGTATGTATGAGAGTGAAGGGAAGTGGAAGATGGGACCTATTTGCTGTCCATTTGCTGAGGCAGCTGGGACCTGCTGTGAGAGCAGCCACCTCCTGGGAAAAAAGCCAGCAGGTTGCCTCCTCACTCCACAGTTACATATTAAGTCTGCAACTGTTTATGTTCAATCTCAGATACATTCTGTTCACCAGTATTAGAGTTTCCAATGCAGGTACCCTCAGTTAATCATCCCTGCTCACATCAGAGTCACTTCCAGCAGTGAAAGATGTTACAGGAAGAACTTCAAACTAGTTCATTCAAGTTTGACCACCCCCCGCCCCCAATGAGACTCTGTATTTCCACCCCAGACATACTGAATCAGAATCTGCATTTTAACAAGACCTACATGTGATTCTTTTGTATACATAACAGGTGATACAGCAGGGAGTTGATTCAGACCAGTTAGAAACCTTCCTTCCAGAAAGTCAGCCAGTCAGTTGAATTAAAAAAAAAAATAAATCCGCACCAGTCTGGTCCCTAAAGAGTTGTTTAAAATGTTTTGGTTATTGCTTAGTTTCTTCAAAGCAGAAGCTAACAGTCATAGGACAAATTTGGAACTCTACTTTAAGATGAAAGAAACTAAGTAAGAAATGAAGAGACAACCTCCTGGTAGTAATAAGATTGAATTTTGTTATGTACCATTGAGTTGCAATCGACCCATAGCTAATCTAGCAGGTTTTCAGAGGCAGTTAATCTAGCATAGGAGACTGTCCATCATTCTCCTATGGAGCAGCTGATCGATTTGAACCATTTGCTTTCGAGACTGCAGCACAACTTCTTACTACTAGGCCACCAGAGCTCCCTGATAAAGTGGAATCTTGCTGCTGTTGTTAGGTGTGGTCAAGACAAGTACAACTCACAGAGACTCTGTGAATAGCCGACCTGAACCCTGCTCTATCATGTGCCATACTCATCATCACAGAAACACTACAGGCCATCACTGAAATCACTGTCTCAATCTCATTCCATCTCACTGGGGTTCTTCCTCTCCTTTGCTCACTCTCCATCTTTCCAAGCATGATGTCTCTTTCCAAGGAATAGCCTCACCTGGCTCCAATTCCAAAGAATAAAAGACGAAGCTTTGCCATCTTTGCTTCCAAGGAGCACTCTGGCTATACCCTTTCTAGGACATGTCTGTTCTTTTAACAGTCCATGTGATATAGGTCCCAGAAAACCAAACCCACTGACATCGTGTGACTTCAACTCCTAGCATTTCTATAGAACAGAACTGCCTCAAAGAGTTTCTGAGGCTATAATCTTTACAGAAGCAGTCCGCCACATTTTTCTCCCTTGGAGCAACTTGCAGGTTAAAATCATAAATGTTTTGGCCCAAAAGGTGAATACAGATGAAAAAAAATCAACTGAAAACATGGCATGAAGGAAAATACTTTTTAAAAGGCTTGGAAGGTTAACTTCCAAGACAAAAAAATCAAGTTTACATTCGTTTTGAAAAAGCTATTTATTTTTTTCAAATATACATTTTTTGGGTTAAGTCAATATGGGTTAGAAAAATTCTACAGAAGAAATAATCTTTATAGACATATATTAGAAATAAGAAAAAACTAACATTTACTTAGATGTGGCTATGGGTCAGAAACATCCAACAGGAGAAAGAATTTTTGTAGACATATAATGGAAATAAGAAAAAGCAAAAAAAAGTGCAAAGACAAAATAACCGTGGCTTGCCTCGCCACACAAAATGGTGACAATCTTTCCTTGTAGCCTACTTTACACGGTTAGTTAGGGTGCCAGAGAGATGGCACACCGACCTTTAGAAGTGGGCCTCCAGTGGACAAGGTAAAGATGGAGCACTGTCAAATATCAGACTAATTCAACTTCAGAAAACAACTGGCCTTGATCTTAAATCCAAAGTCCAGCCTGAGGCCCACTAGCGAGAAATCCAAATTTTAGTATCACATTCATAAAGGCTCTGCCTATTAACACTATTAAGAGCTAATCAATGTAATTAAAGCTAAGCAAACTTCCATCACTAATTCCAGCCTCTCCTGTTTTTCTGCATGCTCCTTTACAGCCTAATGCAAAATGGGATAACTCTGCATTCCCAGACGGAGCTATCCAAAATTCTGTTCAACCCTGCCCTTCTACCTCCCCTGAAACAAGTCAGTCCTTCCAAAGAGGTGAAATTTTTGTCAATGTCTCATGAAAACTAGTTCTAAATGACAATAGAAAAAGGTCATTCAGGAGTAACATCTGGCTTTAAGCCAAAGGACTCTCCTCCCAACCCCACTCCTCCAAGAAGAATGACAATGAATTCCAGGCTACTCCTTCCACCTATTCAAAGATCTCCCACCTAAAAGCTTGAAACAACCAGCACAAGGTGTTGATATGTTACTTGAGGAGGAGAGAGAGATATATATAGTTTTAATAAAACCCCCAAGCACAATTAAACTTGATTAAAAGCTCAGAGAATGCTAAAAGTAGTAATGAGTACAGGAGGCTGCAGAGCAGGAGGTACAGGTGCGCCCTTTCCTGCACTCGGCAAATGTTGTGGAAGGAACAGGCAGACATGACTTCACTTCAGCATTGGAGAAGCAAAGAAATTGCCTTGTCGTCCTAGATTTGTGGCAGACTTGCTTTTGCTTCCAAATCTAAAGAAAAAGAGAAATGAGTTGGAAAAGTTATTCTATACTATAAACACTGGTGAATAAATAGCAACTATAACATTGTTGTTGTTATATGCCTTTGAGTCTCCTGCAACTAACTCATAGAGGTTCTATCTATGTACAACAGCCCTAAACCCTGCACTATCCTGTGCCAATCTCACTGTGTCCGACACCTGCCCCGATTACCCCAGTCACTGAATCAATCCACCTCATAGAGGGTCTTCTACTCCTGTGCTGTCCCTCTACCCTCCCAAGCATGACGTCCTTCTCCAAGGACTGCTCCCTCCTTGTAACATGTCCAAAGTATGTGAGATGAAGCTTCAGAATCCTTGCCTCCAACGAGCAGCCCAATTTAATCCTCTCCAGTATGCACGGATTCGTTTTCTTAGTAGTCCATGGTATATTCAATACTCTTCTCCAGCACCATAGCTCAAAGGCATCAATTTTCCTTTTATCCTCCCTAGTCATTGTCTAGCTCTCTGATGCATAGCAAGTGCTTGCAAAGACCATGGCCTTTATCAGGAGCAACTTAGTCTCCAGAGAGACACCACTGCTCTTCAGTACTTAGAGAGGTCCCTAACAGCAGACTTTCCCATCACAATACGTCTTTTAATTTCCTGGCTACTGGTGTCAAGAGTGTTGACTGTGGAGTCAAGCAAACTAAAGCTGTTAACAATCTCATTCTCTTCACCATCCATCCTGATGTTGCCAACTGGCCCAGTGGTAAGAATCTTTGCCTTCTTCATATTAAGCCTCAATCTATATTGGAGGCTGCAATCCTTGATTTTCTGCAGCAAGCACTTCAGGTCCTCACAGGTTTGAGGTCTTGAACACCAATGAGCGAAGACCAGATGAATTGTGGGAAGATATCAAGAGTATCATCCAGGAAGAGTGCAAAAGGTCATTACAAAGACACAGGAGGAAGAAAAGATCAAAATGGATGTCAGAAGAGACTCTGAATATTGCACTAGAGCACCGAGAAGCCAAAGCAGAGGGAAGAATTCAAGATATTAAAGAGCTGAACAGAAGATTTCAAAAGGCAGTGTGGGAAAAAAAGTAAAATATTACAATGAAATGTGCAAGGAGCTGGAGTCAGAAAAATCAAAAGGGCTGAAATCGCTCAGCATTTCGTAAGCTCAAAGAACTGAAGAATAAATTCAAACCTTGAGTTGCTATACTTAAGGATGGTTTGGGCAGAATATTAAATGACACAGGAAGTAATAAAAGAAGATAGAGTATAGAGTCACTGCACCAAAAGGAATTGGCAGACATAGAAGAATTTCATGAAACAACATATGAGCAAGAGGCTACGGTGATGAAGGAAGAAGTTCAAGCTGCTTTGAAGGAATTGGCAAAAAATAAGGCTCCAGGAATTGATGGCATACCAAATAACATTTCAACTAACAGATACTGCCCTACATGTGCTCAACAAGTTGTGTCAAGAAATCTAGAGGACAACCACTTGGCCAACTGACTTTAAGAGATCTATATTTGTTCCCATTTCAAAGAAAGGTGACCAACAGAGTGTGGAAATTATTGAACAATATCATTGTTATCACATGCAAGCAAGATTCTGCTGAAGATTATCCAAATACGACTGGAACAGAGAACTGCCAGAAGTCCAGGCTGGGTTTAGAAGGGGTCGTGGTAATAGGGATATCGTTGCTGATGTTAGATGGATCTTGTCTGAAAGCAGAGAATACCAGAAGAATGTCTAGCTGTGTTTCGTTGATTATGCAAAGGCATTTGACTGTGTGGATCATAACAAACTCTGGCTGACTCTGAGAAGAATGGGAATCCCAGAACACTTGATTGTGCTAATGCAAAACTTATACTTGGACCAGGAAGCTGTCATCAGAAGAGAGAAAGGAAACACAGCATGGTTCAAAATTGGGAAGGGTGTACTCCAGGGATGTGTCCTGTCTTCATACCTTTTCAACCTATATGCAGAACAGATTATCCGGGAGGCTGGGCTCTATGAGAAGTGCAGCATCAGGACTGGAGGAAGATTCATCAACAATCTGCGTTATGCAGATGATACAACTAAACATTACTTAACCACAAGTAGGAAACTCTAACTCTGAACTACTCTGGAAGGTCACCTAAAACAAGAAAGGTTAATAGTAAAGACCTTTTAAATCTTTTTTAAAATGATCTTCATGGCTTTAGGATTCCTTTTAAAAGTCTAGTTACTACCTAAATCACCAGAGAAGTGCCACCAGCAGTTCTGCCAGAGAAATATGGGCAATATAATCTCCTTCTATGCAATTTCCAGTCCCTGAAAACCTGCTAGAGGGTCACTTACATGTCAGTTCTGATTCAACTGCAATGAGGAAGGAATCACTACTAGCTAAGATCTAGTCCAACTTTTCTTTTCAATAACTTCCAACACGATGATTAGACATCTGAGGAATCAGCCACCTTTTAGTTCCTGTAAAGGCAGGTTCTCCTTACCTGGGAGTGTTCTTGCTGAGGGTGGAGCGGACTCTCTGTGACAGGGAACTAGATGAAGGAGTCTTGAGGAGCTGATGTTCGGGAGTGGTCACAGGCCCCAGTATACTCACTTCAATTAATGTTTAAGAATGTGTTTTAAAAGAGGAGAAAAGATAAAGAACCTGTGTAAGTGGTCAATTTTAAGTGAAATAACCTGTGAAGCATTAAACTCAGGGATCTAGCAAAGTCTCAAGAGATAATTTCCATCAGCATTCTGTAACATATCTTCGAACCATATTAACTGGTTCCTAGCTTAAGACATTTTCTAATTCCAGCCATCACAAATCTACATCAGAATATAAGATTTTACCTATACTAGAATAAGTAACACATTCTCTTGAAAAAGAATTTTCAATAATGAAACAACAGGCCTCAATGGTGGCAATACATATTTGCAAAAGCCTTTTAAAAAATCAAATTGGTAAAACATGTGGAGAGATATAAAAGTATTCTAGTCCTGTAATTCTATAGTCTCACTCCCAGGAGTTTTATCATTAGAATGAAAAAACTAGATAAACATAATGTTGATTGTAATGTTGATTACTTATTAGTTACAAAAAGTTGAAAGAGACCCAACAGAATATATAATTATAGCTTACAGCCATAAAAATTATAACATACAAGTTACACAGAAAGTTCTTCAAAATATACTAAGTGAAAAAAGGACAAATCCTATCATTATTTCTGTATAAAATCATAGGTAAAAAAGGAGAACTTGGAACAATTAAGTTATTAGAATTACATAATTATATACATTTTCCTTTTAGTGTTAAGATTTTCAATATAAATTCAAGTTTTCAAGTTTTTTATTGAAAACTTCAAATTTCAAACAGCCCTAACAAAGGCAGGAAAAAGACATATGCCCCAAACTAGAGTGAGCCCAGTCACATTATTTACAAAGTGCCCATGACGCCTCACCTTTAATATCTGGTGTCTGTGGTGTTGAAAAGGCATTTGAGTTTTCAATGACATGCATGGGCTCAATGTTCTCTTGCTCCACCATCATGAACTGACTCCAGTATTCCAGGGGCAGTGAAAGCAGACGCTCTACCACCTAAAATCACCAAATTTGTTAGCAAACTTCTCAATGTCAGGATTTACCTTCCGGCATTCTCTCTCCATAGAAAATCCTAAGGATTATTCGCAAACAAATCTTAGCGTGTTATACAAATTCCTACCTTGGGTTGATGCTTGATGTCTTGTAACATTGTCACTGGATCTGGGTTGGGCACAGCATGAGCAACTATTGTTGGTCCAAAGACTTTAGCTAGATTGGCAACATCCATTTTGGTGTTTGGACTCTGAGCCACTCTAAGCAAAAGACAATTAAATTTTAAAATGTCTCTTTGACTGAAATACAGACCAAAATATTTCTACAAGACAATTCACTTTTCATGCTCCCTCCAAAGGGAGGAGCCTATACTATCTCCTCCTTTGAAAACTCTCTAACTCCCTGAAACAAGTTTCTGCTGTACTTACCTCTGCAGGTGAATCATGAGGAAAGCTAATGTGTCCCTGTTGGCTTGGGGTAGTTTACCCACTGCCTGGTACATGGCAGCAATGCTGTTGTCCTCATCTGTGATTTCTGTAAAAGAAAACATCAAGGGGCCTCGAAGTCTTTCCCTTGACAGCAGGCTCCCACATTATCGACCACAAAGCTTCATCTATACAGTAAGCCTCCGAAACTTCAGATTAAGTTCATGTCTGCATCAGACTCTAGTTTCATTAACAAGCAGGATCCTGGCCAACAGCTCAATATTAGAAGTCAGAACTTCAAAAAAAATCAGCTCTGCATTTAGGAAAGCAGCTGGCAACTCATGCACTAGAAAGACACATGTAACTGCAGTGATTACAATTACCATTTGTGAAACTTATTTTCAAGCCTACTATGTGCCAACCACTTCTAAATAAAGACTCTGGTACAATGTATATTATATTGAAAGTGCTTAAAGGCTGTATGGCACTCTCTCAAAAAGTTGTAAATAGAGATACCATTTGACCCAGCAATTTCATTATTGGGAATATACCCCAAAGAGACCATAACTGACACCCTAGCAGATATATGCACACCCATGCTTATCGCAGCTTTGTTCCCAAGAGCAAGAAGTTGGAAACAACCTAAGTGCCCATCAACAAATTAATGGATAGAGAAGCTCTGGTATATTCACATAATGGAATACTATGCTGCATTGAAAAACAAGGAACTCACGCAATATTATTCAAAATGGGTGAGCCTGGAGGACATTATGCTGAGTGAAATATCTCAGTCACAAAAGGACAAGTGCTGTACGGTGCCACTATTGTAGAATGGGACTGACATCAGGGTTGGAGTGAGACTGAGAAAAACTGGATAAATTATGTATACTGCATTGAAACAGATGAGGGAGAGAACTGGGTATTATGGTTACAAGAGTCCAGAACGAAGGTTGCATAGTGGAGTGTACTGGGGGCGGGGGAGGGTAGTGGGGCAGATTCTATACCAATGAAATACTTTTTCTTTTACTTTTCAAAGAGGAGAGTGAACTGGGGGGAGGGATGGGCAGGGAGAAAATGCAACAATGAATGTATGGAAATCCAAAATCTCTGTAAACTTTCATCAAAATTAATTTTAAAAAAATTTTTTAAAAGTGAAATAAAGATACTTAAAGTGTAAAAAAAAAACCAAACCAATAGCATAACAAAAACAAAAAAAAAACCCCACATACATCAGGTAGAGATAACCAAGAAAAGGAAAACAGGGCAGGTAAGATGAGGGCTGTTATTTTAGACAAAGTGCTCATGAAAGGGTTTCTAAGGACAAAATACCTTGGAAACAAATCTGGAAAAAAAAATAAAAGAGCAAACTATGCAAATATTTATGGTAAGAGTGTTCCTGGCTAAGTCAACAACAAAATGAAGACTCTAAGAAAGTAGGCTTAGTATGTTCTAAGAATTGCAAGAATCACAGTGTAAATGGAGAGGAAGAAAAGTATATTGAAAAAGAGCATGCTGGAGATGTAACCAGTGGCTGAATCCCACAGGGTCTTGGGCCATTATTAAGGATGGTGGGGTTTACTCTAAGAGTAATGGGGGGGAGGAGTACTAGAAAGTCACTGGAGGATACTTAAGATAGAAGGAATACTATCTAATTTAAATCTTAAAAAGAACCACCCTAACGTCTGTATAAGGAACACACTATAAGAGGCAAAAGTAAAAGCAGAAAATCAGTTAGTAGGTTCATATAGTATTCCAGAGTGAACAATGTTAAAAATGATAACAGGAAGAGTGACAAACATAATATTATTTTATAAGATTGATAACAAGATTAATCAATTAATTAGATATGAGGTGTGAGGAAAAAGGAATGAAAGATGAAATCAAATTCAAAACAGCCTAAAACTTGCCAAAACAAAGAAAACATTTAAAAATAACAAAACTCTATTAATATCTAAAGTAGGAGTACAGTTAAGATAAAAGGAAAAGCATGGTTATTTCCCCATCAAAACTATTTGAGCATTTACTATGTTTCAGGAACTTCTAGATACGGAGATAAAGTAGTAAACAGAAGAAGAGTGAAAGATTCCAGCCATCACAAAACTTATATTCAAGCATTAAGATCTCTCCTTACGTGCTGCTTCCATAAAAGCCTTATTTAGCCGAAAGGTCAGAAGAGGCTCTTTTAGGTTTCGAAGGAAGTCTTTCAAAAAGCTACAAATAGCATGGATGTCATCCACTTTGCGGAGAAGGGGTACAGTTTTCACACGAAGGAATCTCTCTTTCAGCTCTTTTACTGTACGGTCACAGCCCGAGATCCTATATAGGCCTGTCTAGCATCAAAAAAAAAAAACAACTCTATTTAAAAAACTCCTAATTATTAACACAAACAACAAATTTATCCTCTCCTGGAGTTGACTTACTTCAGTCAGTCCTCTCTGCTCAATCTCATTTACACAGTGGACAACAATGGAGGGGATCATTGGAGAAGTCTGGGACACAAAATCTGACAGCATTCCCTGAAAGTAGAGAGTTCAAAATTATTATTATTATTATTATTATTATTATTATTATTATTATTATTATTATTACCACCACTTACATGAGTAGATAAAGACCAAATGTATATAAATTAATCTGCAGACTAATATGTTCTCAGGCTAGAACATCATGGGCACTCTTACAATCCTATTTCTAAAGCACGTGTTATAGGAGACTCTAAATTCTTTTTCCTAACTCCACAGCAAGACTGATTTATGGTCACAAATACCATACTCTTTTATGAACAAGTCTTTACAGAAGAACAGCTTTTTTTTTTCAATTTTATTCTTTTTGTGTATGTACCGTCAAATCAGATCTGACTGGTACAGGAGGAGATTGCCCCTCCTTCTCTGGTAGAGCATCTGGTGGATTCGAACCGTGTACCTTTGGGATTGCAGTACAGCTTCTTGCCACTAGGCCACCAGAGCTCCCCCAGAACAAAAGCTTTATAGCTCTACAACCCTTCTTCAAGAAAAGGCACCAGAGAGCAAGCAATGAGATTACAGCTATGAACTTTTAATCAATGGAAACTAGGTAGATTAACTACATTTTTCACAATTAAAATTTTTGAAGGACTGATTGACAGATTTCAGTATTTCTACAAACTCTACAAAATGCCCAACAAGGCATTATTCTTGGCCCTTTTAATACAGGTAAAGTGTCCTATTAGAACACAAATGATAGGAATGAAGTAACACTGTTGAGGGCAAATTAAAGAAGTTAGTTATTTTCTTCCAACTGCTATTTAATTGATACTTAGCATTAATACAAACATACACTAGTGGATATCATGACCACCAGTAATTTACAGAATAAAATCAAGAGGACTAAGAGGTATATCTACCTAAAATGCTCTAGTGGCCTAGTGTTAAGAAGCTGCTGCACTGCCATCCCCAAGGCACAGGGCTCAAACTCACCAGGTGCTCCACGGGAGATTAAACTACCTCTGAAAACCAGCTGAAGAGTCAGCTATGAATCAGTTCCAACTCGATGGTACACAATAGTATCAACTACTTAAAAGATAACCAATATAGTACTAAAACTAGTGCTTTAATATGTAGATCAGAAATTCCAGAGTGAAATTTCTTTGATTTCAATTTTATAAAATGTGGATGGGAATATATAGGGAAGAAGAGCTATGGGGGAAGGCTAGAGAAATATCTGGAGTTACAGTGTGAATCAATAGCTCTAAGTCATAATCAAAATTAGGACAGTGCTGTAGACAATTAATGTGTCCTTGACTGTATTTATTGGGGAGGATATTAAGAATTTATACTTGATAATCTGCCTTAAACCAATATGGCCTTTAATATAAACAAACTTAAAAAGAGGAAACTCTGGACTTTAACAATCTCATAGCTGATCAGGAAATGAACTTATTTGTAGTAAGACCTCCATGTTTTTTTGTAGATTACAGGAAACTTATTTTTTAAGTCTACATCCATAAATTGTTGTTCTTGTTGTTGTTGTTATGTGCCATCGAGTTCCCTGCGAATCATAGCAACCCTATGTACAACAGCCCTAAACCCTGCTCTATCCTGTGCTATCTCTGACACACTATCCCTATTACCCCAGTCACTGAATCAATTAATCTCATCAAGGGTCTTCCTCTCCTGCTCTGTCCCTCCACCCTCCCAAGCATGACCTCCCTCTCTAAGGACTGGTCCCTCCTTGCAACATGTCCAAGGTATATCATATATAGCTTCAGAATCCTTGCCTCCAAGGAGCAACCTGGTTTCACCCTCTCTGGGGAAAACCTGTTCTTTCTCCTAGCAGTCCATGGTATTTTCTATATTCTTCTCTAGCACCATAGCTCAAAGGGGGGAAATAAACTTTTCTTTTTTGGCACTAATGAGTCAGTATCAGCAGTTATTTTGTTTTGAATTTTTGTTGATCTGGCTTTTAAAATAAACAACTTCTTAGTGAATTTAATTATTTTCAGATCTAACCAACCTAATTTTTGATAGCTTAGTACAGAATACTAATCCTGAAGTACAATGCTGTGAATAACAAGATACTATCCCTATACATAAAAAGAAGATCTGTTAATACAACTATTATTCAAATACATGCACCAACAACTAAAGCCAAAGAAGAGAAACAACTTTTGTAGTCTGAAATAGACTAAACATACAAGCAAGATTCATTAATGACTGGGATGCAAAAGGGGAAAAATAAAGAAGAACTGGTCAGAAATTATAATCTTGGGAATAGAAATAAGGCCAAAGATCAAATTATAGAATTTTATGCAATGATTATTCAGTGCAAATACTTTTTTTAAAGAAACACAAATGACAACTACATACATGAATCTCAACTGAGGAGCTACACAACAATCAGACTGTATCTGTGGAAAGAATCATCGGAGAAGCTCAACACCAGTTGTCAAAACCAACCCAGGTGATAACTGTGGAAGAGACTATCATCTACTCTTGTGCAAGTCCAAATTGAAATTGAAGAAGATGAAAAAAAAAACAAAACAAAACACAGGAACCAAAATACAATCTTGAATCTATCTCATCTTAATTTAAAAATCATCTCAAGAACAGCTCTGAGACATTAAACCCTAATGATCGAAGACTAGATGAATTGTGGGATGAGATCAAAGATATCCATGAAAAAAGCAAAACATAAGTACAAAGGCATAAGAAAAGCCCAAAAAAGATGTCAAAAGAGACCTTGAAAGTTGCACTACAACATGAAAAAGCCAAAACCAAGGAAAAAACTGCCAAATAAAAGAGATGAACAGACGATTTCGAAGAGCAGCTCAAGGGAAAAAAAAGCCAAGTATTATAAAGAAATCAGGTGGCTCTGGTGGCCTAGTGGCAAGAAGCTGTGCTGCAATCCCAGAGGTACACGGTTCAAATCCACCAGATGCTCTGCCGGAGAAGGAGGGGCAATCTCCTCCTGTACCAGTCAGATCTGATTTGACGGTACATATACAAAAAATAATAAAATTTTTAAAAAAGAAAAAGAAACCAGCAAAGAGCCAATGTTGGAGGAAGCTCTGGTGGCCTAGTGGCAAAAAGCTGCACTGCAGTCCCAGAAGTGCACAGTTCAAATCCACCAGATGATCTGCTGGAGAAGGAGGAACAATCTCCTTCTGTACCTGTTAGATCCAATTTGATGGCACACACACACACACACACAATATTAATAAAGATTTTTTAAAAAAATTTTTTAAAAAAAGAGCCAGTGTTGGGAAGGGGCAGGGGGCGGGGGGGGGGGGGGGGGAAGAACTTGCTTGGCATTTCTCAACTTGAAAGAACTGTAAAGCCAATTTCAGCCTTGAGTTGCAACAATGAAGGACACCACAAGCAAAATCAAATCTACAGGAACCAAAATTTGACCTTGAAACTGTCCCACCTGGATTTCAAAACCATCACAGCAACAGATTTGAGACCTTGAACACTAATGAATGAAGACCAGATGAACTATGGGAAGATATTAAGAATATCATCCACAGGAACGTAAAATGTCATTACAAAAACAGGATAAAAAAGAAAAAAAAAAACAGAGGAGGATGTCAGAAAAGACACTACTGCACTAGAGTGCCAAAAAGTCAAAGTAAAGGGGAAAAAAAATCAAGAAGCTAAGAAGCTGAACAGAAGATTTCAAAAGGGCACTGCAGAAAGACAAAGCAAAGTATTATAAGGAAATGTACAAAGACCTGGAGTCAGAAAATCAAAAAGGCTGAACTCACTTGACATTTCTTAAGCTGAAGGAACCGAAGAACAAATTCAAGCCTAGAGTTGCAATACTTAAGGACGCTACGGGCAGAATATTAAATGATCCAGGAAGCATTAAAAGATGAAGTATACAGAGTCACTGTATCAAAAAGAATTGGGTGACACAGAAGAATTTCAAGAAACAACATATGATCAAGAGACAATAGTGATGAAGGAGGAAGTTCAATCTGTTCTGAAGTTACCAGCAAAAAACAAGGCCCCAGGAATTGACAGCATATACCAACTGACATATGGCAACAAAAAAGATGCTGCCCTGGACATGCTCACCAAGTGGTGCCAAAAAAATCTGGAGGACAATTACCTGGCTAATGGATTAGAAGAGATACATGTTTATTACTATCCCCCAAAAAAGGTGATCTGACAGAATGTGAAAATTATTTAAAAAAAAAAATCACTAATATCACACACAAACAAAATTCTGCTAAAGATCATTCAAATCGAACTGGAACAGAAAACTACCAGAAATACAAGCTGGATTTAGAAGAGGCCATGGCAGTAGAGATATTATCACCAATGTCAGATGGATCTTGCCTGAAAGCAAAAGTACCAGAGGAATGTCTATCTGTGCTTTATTGACTATGAGAAGGCATTTGACTGTGTAGATCACAACAAACTGTGGTTAACCTTGAGAATGGGATTCCCAGAACATGTGATTGTGCTCATGTGAAACCCATACTTGGACTGGAGGGCAGTCTTCAGAACAGAGCAAAGAAAACACTGAATGGTTCAAAATTAGGAAAGGAGTGCATCAAGGAAGTGTCCTGTCTCCATACCTTTCCAATCTACACACAGAACATCTACATTTGAGAGGATGAACTTTATGAAGAGGATTAGATTAGAAGAAGCCTCATCAACAACCTGTGTTACACAGATGATATAAACTTGCTTGCCAAAACTGAGGAGGACCTGAAGCACTTGCTGCAGAAGATCAAGGACTGAAGGCTTCAATATGGATTGAAGATCAATATCAAGAAGACAAAGATTCTCCCCAGTGGGCCATTAGTAGCACCATGATAGATGGAGAAACAATTTCAGCTTGCTCAACCCCACAGTCAACACTCGTGGCACCAGCAGTGAGGAAATTAAGACAATTTGCACTGGAGAAGTCTGCTGTCAGGGACCTCTCCAGAGTGCTGAGGAGCAATGATGTCAGGCTAGAGACTAAGGTGTGCCTGATCCAGGCCATGGTCTTCACAATTGCATGCTATGCATCAGAAAGGGGGACAAAGACTAAAGAATTATTGATGCCTTTGAGTTGTGGTATTACAGAAGTCTTGAGCATACCACGGCCCGTCAGGAGAACAGATAGGTCTGTCTTAGAGAGGGTGAAACCAAGTTTCTCCTTGGAGGCAAGGATTTTGAAGCTTTGTCTCACACACTACTTTGGGCTTGTTGCCAGGAGGGACTAGTCCTTGGAGAAGGACATCATGCTTGGAAGACTGGAGGGACAGCACAGTAAAAGAAGACATCAGATGAGATGGATTGACCCGATAACTGGGGCAATGGGATTAGATGTGCTGGAGTCAGTGAGAGTGGCTCAAGATAAGATAGGGCAGGGTTCAGAGCTGTTGTACATAGGCTTGCTAAAAGTCACAGTAAATTGGATGACACATAACAAGAAGTGACACTCATTATTTGAGGAAAGGATATATCATTTACATCATTAATTTTACAACAGAAACAATTAAGCTTCTGAAAGCCTAAAAGAAGTCAGAGCACAAGTTCATCTCCCACAAATCATACCTCTCCGATCTTGACAGGTGTTCCTATCAGGGTGGGAATGCAGGGAAGGGGACAACGGTCCCGACATTCCGGATGAGAGACCACACGACAGTCTCGACACTTCAAGGACAGCTTTCCAAATTTTATCCGCTTTCCACATGGAACACAAGATTCTGGTTTAATAACCTAATGATGAAATGGGAAGGACTTTAGTAGTATGAATCATCAGTAGTCCCTGACTTAGGATGAATTCTGTTATAAAATAAGTTGAAAACATCTTTTGTTTTTTTTAATTTTATTATTATCTTTCATTATTCCATCAATTACATCATCACCAGTGTTCTAACAATAAAGTCTGAGTTATTGGGCTCATGAGCAGTTAAATTTTTTTATATATGAAGAATTAAACATTGCCTAAATTTTCTCATCTTTGCCATTCTTGACATTACCTTTACTGTTATACAACACTATAAATAGTGTTTTAAACAGTAAATCAAAAAACTAAACATGTGAATCAACATCTGAGTCTGATAACAGCCTATTAGGCACAACACTGGTTATGGTACATATTAGTAATGCTGTATAAAAACAACAAAAATGAAGGGTCATTAAATGTGACTCCTTTCAACTGGGTATACCAAAAGTTAGGCATAATCTGTTCAAGATTATTATCAGCAGCAGCTAACATTTATTAAGCACTTAGGATGTGCCAATTCTAAGACCTTTATATAAATTTATGTAAGTAATTTTCACCATAATCACATAATGTGACTTTTGTTTTTGTCATTTAAGCATAAACAGAAGTAAAAGAGATTAGATAACTTACCTGTCACCACTCAGAAGACAGTAGCATAAAGTAAAGGACCTTACTGACAAGGACTCAGAAAAGTCAGATGTTAAATCTGCTACTCACTATCATCTGACTCAAACAAAGCCATTTAACTCCTCTGAGCCTCAGCGGAGCTACCTGATTTTTCCTTTATTCAATTTAGGCTTATTGTTTTTTATTTTGGGTGTTTTGTTTTACCTTTTTTTTTCCTCTTGGGTTTCTTTGGAATAAATCAAATGATACAAAGTTAAAATATTTTTAAAATCTAAGGTGCTATATTCTAACATAAGATGTAAACAGCATGGCTAAAAAGTACAATTATTTCTGAAGAGTGGCTTTCTTTTATCCACACTGAAAGTTACCTAGCTTCTTCCACTAGTGGTTACTCCTGGAAGATGAGAATGGACAGGGAGAAAAGAAAATTGCATATCTACCTTTGCAAAAAAAACCCCATATATATAAATAAATGTAAAACTGCAAACTGCTTTTGGTATATATTATTTCATAATTAAAAATTCCATGTTTTGCCTAAAGACAAAGGAACTGTCGTGGATTTACCGTCTTGGAGACAAAGTCGTGCAAGCGCATCCCTCCATTACTCTGAGGCGTGCCAGCAGTATCTGGCTCAGGTTTGGATTCCAGCTGCCTGCTGCTCAGGGTAGAGTCACTGTTGCAAGGTTGTAAAGTACCTAGAAAACAAGAAAAGTTTTGTATCTTAAATACTGTGCTCTTTTTTAATTTTAATTAATAAACAATCTCCTGTAACTCTAATCAAGAATAAGTATCAACAGTTATGCAAAAAGCAGCATAAAGAAAAATGAAAATTATATACACACTCAAGTTGAAATGTTAAAGGCTAAAAATCCAAAGGTGAAGCATGACACAAACAGTTCTCAGACCTAAATAAGCAGCAGAAAGAAACAACCTAATATCTAATCCCGGTCTCAGGAGGCTTCTAAGACTACCTCCCAATTTTACCAGCTGTTTCACACAGGCAATTTAGCCACAAATGCAACAGACCTGTTTTCCTTCGGCTCCTGGTCCAATATGGAACAGTCTCAATCGTGGACACGGCTTCAATAGGCCCACCATCATTGGGAACAGTTACTGTAGTTTTTGCAACTATAGATTCATTCCCCTGAAACAAAAGTGGCTGTGAGAAGCAAGTAAACATACAGGATCTAATTTCCCCTCTGTTGTTGCATGCCCTTGATTTGGAACCAATTCATAGCTGATCCTCCAGTGGGTCCAGTGGGTTTTCAGAGCTAGTAAATCACACGGAAGGAGACGGCCCAACCTTTTCTCACAGAGTAGCTGGTGATTTTGAACAATGTGCCTTTGGAATTATAGCATTGATTCTTACCAGTATACCACCAGAGTTCCCTAATTTCTTCTCTACTATTTTGCTTAAGAAAAGAAAAAAGACTTGATGAATTTATTAATAAAGCTCAGACTATATAGCCTTCAATATGGAGTACCTCTTAGTATAAAGTAAACAAAAATTCCCCCAATCGGACCAATAAACAACCATGATGGGGTGGGGGTGGGGGGATTAAGTGGATCCATAATCAACTCCCTTGGATCCCTTTGGTCAATATAACATAAAAACATATTATAATGGGTACATCTGTTGCCAAGAACATCTTTAAAGAGTTAAAAGCAAGGATATAATTTTAAAGACCAAGAAGCATCTGCTCCAAGACATGGTATTCCTACTGCTTCACATGCATGTGAAAGCTGGACAGTAAATAAGGAAGATCAAAGAACTGATGTCTTTGAATTGTGCTGCTAGTGAAGAGTATTTGAATATACCATGGACCACCAAAAGAAAAGCTCTGGGAGTCCAGTGGTAAGGAGTTGAGCTGCCAACCCAAAGGCCAACGGTTTGGATCCACCAGCTGCACAGTAAGAGAAAGATGAACAATCTCTTTGTGTGTAATTTACTCTCTCTGAAAACTCACTAGAGGATCAGCTGAGAGTCAATTCCAACTTGATGATACATAACAACAAACAAAGAACAAAGGCCTTGGAAAAGTGCAGCCAGAGTACTTCTTGGAGGCAAGAGTGGTGAGACTTCATCTTACATAACAATGGACATGCTATCAGCACAGGCCAGTCCTTGGAGGGAGCCATCATGCTTGGAAAAGAAGATGGTCAAAGGAGAGCAAGGTCCTCAATGAGATGGATGAACACAGTCCTTACAACATCAGAGACGTGAGGCTAGGGCAGGACTGGGCATGGTATGCCCTGCTGCACACAGGGTTGCTGTGATTCAGAGTTGATTCAACAGCATCTAACAACAGAGTATTCTGGAATGGTTGACAACTTCCTCAATCTTGAATTGAAGCTTAAAGGCTCCAGCTCAAAACACTCAGAAATTGAAATCTCATATTTTAGAATAAAAAATACAGGTCACAGAGGTATACAAGCAAACTACTAAGACTCAAACATAAAGTTGGGCTTTACATAATCAGAGTTATTTCATTATCAATAAAGATACTATTAAAACAGAAAAAGTCTATTTTAAAATGCTGACTAAAGAGAATTTTTTATGCACCAGGCCACTAATCTCCAGAACGTGTTCATGACCATAATTCTCTCAGTGTGAGTAAACTTACCTGGTCTACTGTGGAGCCAATAGAACGAGTTTTCTTTACAGGCCCAGGTGGACCATCAGTAAACTGTCGGCTACTGGAGCGCTAAAGAGGAGAAAAAGACCAACGATTTTAGTGACAAGATGAAGATCTAAAACACAAAAGAAAAAATTATTCCATTAGACAACCTGCATACAAGTCTTAGGGACCAAGATCACCAAAATTAATGTGCTCTCTCTTACTGCCCTTTTCTATATGAAGCTCAAGTTGCCCCAAACCAAAAATGCCTTTGGTGATCTAGAAAAAATGAACAAGACTTGTGGAAATTAAGATGACAACACTTGAAAAAGTAGAACTGTAATCCCATTAAATCTGTGGAGAACACATTATGTAGCATAAACAAGCACGCACAACTAGATCTCTGTATATCCCATTATACACACAGTTCATCTAAAGCTTACATTAGAGCACAAAAGTTCTGCATAAAAATTTATATGACAACTCAAAATAAATCTAAGTATATCTCTTCCACTCCATGAATGAATGGAGAAGCAGCCCAAGATCAGTAAAACAGGACAGAATCCTAGGATTCCCTAATGAGTTACTACCTCAAAGATGATTGATACCAACCCCTACCTCTTAGTATGAACTAATCTGTAATGTGTCTAGCAATGACTAGAGCAGTATGTCAGAAACACAGTATCATTGTAAACTTTCCAACATATTGTTACATTATGTTTAAAAAAAACACACCCCAACCTAATAATCAAAACCAACATACCCTCTTTTGTCTCTTCTTCAGTCTGAAAGTCTTTATCGAAGAATCCCAATCCTGTTGAAAATTAAATTGTATTAATTTTTTCTTTTCTTATATCTCCCTTAAACTTTCTGCAAATTTACTGTTAACTTTAAAGACATCTTGGAGTCTTGGTAGCATAGTGTGTTATCTTGAGCTACTAACTGAAAGACTGGCAGTTTGAATCCAGCAGCCACTCTGAAGGAGAAAGATGGGCAGTCTTTCCTTTAAAGATTTATACCTTTGGAAATCCAATTGAGAATAGCCATGAGTAGGAACTGACTTCTCGGCAGTGAGTTCTTAACTTACAATTTGGAAAAAGATGAGAAGGAAGAATTCTCAACTGCTGTAGCCATGCAACTATAGTAAGTTAACATACTTTCTTTCAAAAATTGAAGCTATTATAATAGAATCACGAATCAATACCACAGAGGCAAGGAAAGGTTAAAGAATCAACCTCTGTTGTGATTACACCTGCAGCATGGTCCTTTATTTCTGATTATTTTTGTAATTAGTTTTAGAACTTACAGAATGTTAGGCACTATACTGATCTTATTAGATGTGATTCTTGCCCTCAAGGGATTGCTACAATCTAACAAGATGGTCTGTACAAAGTTGCCACTTAAAACAACTCTAGTTTAAGTTTTATGTTTCTCAACCATTCCTATTTCTTGGGCCCTAAAAATAGATGTTCCCCACTGAAGAATTTTCTGTTACTATGGACTTTTTTCCTGACTTTTTAAAAAAATTGATATTTTAATTAAATTTTATAGAGAACTTGGATTTCCATTCATTCATTGTTGCACATTTTCCTCCCTGCCCACCCCACACCTCCCCATTTTTCTCTTAAAAAAAATATAAAATAAAATGTCTTTCATTGTTGTACAACTCCTCACACCCACCCCAGTCTACTTTACTATGTACCTCTTATTCTGGACTGTTGTCATGCAAATAATACCTAATCATATATTCCTTTTAGGTAGTTCTTTCCCTCATCTGTTTCAATGACGTGTACCTCATTTATCCCCTCTTTTCTTAGTTTTCCCCAACCTCAATGTAACAGTGACACCATGCAGTATTTGTCCTTTTGTGACAGATATTTCGCTCAGCATATTGTCCCCCAGGGTCACCAATTTTGTATAATATTTCATGAGTTCCTTGTTTTTCAGTGCTGCGTAGTATTTCATTGTGTGAAGATACCACAGCTTCTCTATCCATTCATTTGCTGATGGGCACTTGGGTTGCTTCCATCTCTTTGCTACTGTGAACAACACAGCAATAAACATGGGTGTGCATATATCTGCTTGGGTGGCACATTACTATGGTCTTGATTCACCTCACTCATTTTAACCATTTACAATCACTTTTAACACCTACTTTTGACTTACTTACCTTTGATAATCCCTGAAAGTATTAAAAAATAGAAGTTGTGTTTATTGAGTTGTAACTTAGCTAATTAAGTGTAACATTCCTACTTCATGACTAAAGTGACTCTGGTGATGCAGGCTGTAAAGAGCTATATTGCTAACCTCTCTGGTACTTCAAATCTACCAGCTTCTCAACAGGAAAAAAGATGAGTAATCTCCTCCTGTGTGATTTATAGCCTCTAAAATTTCTCCGGATGGTCAGCTATGATTTGGTTCCAACTCGACGGCAATGAGAGATAGAGAAACAATTCATGGCTAAGTGCTCTGGATACTGATTGGTTGGTTTAATTTCAATTACAATGGATATTACATCATAGATCTAGCTCTGAAACAAATTAATATGTCCTAGCTTTATCATACATTTCAAAGTTACTCATATCACACTTGATTTAAAAAAGGTGAAGTCTAATTTTTATATCTATAAAATTGCAATTATTTCCATAGTCAAACAACAAATTTAGACAGAAAATGCTGGCCACTTAGCATCTGGCTGCTACTTATTTTTCTATTATTAGAAAAACCAACCATCAAAAACCTCCACTAATTTATTGTTTTATTTTCTAGCTAGGGAGTTCTGGTGGTTTAGTGAGATAGCATCGCACTTCCAATGCAAAAGTACACAGTTCAAATCCACCAGCTGCTCTGCGGGAGAAAGATGGGCAATCAACTCCTGTGCTATTTGCTATCTCTGAAAACTCGTTGGAGGCTCATCTATGGTTTGGTTCCAACTTGATGGTACACACAACTGTATTTGTTAGCTTTCAGTCAGAAATAGGAAAGATACACAAACCAATGAACCAGTAGAGTCTTAATTATCTAGAGCTGCCATAACAAATATCTGAAGTAAATGGCTTTACCAGACAAAAATTTCTTAGACAATTTAGGAACACAAAGTTCAAGTTCAAGCTCAAGATTAAGATTTTCTCTCTCAAGAACCCTAACTCCCTGGCAAAAAGCTGCACTGCAATCCCAGAGGTGAGTGGTTGGAATCCACCAGGTGCTCTGCTGGAGAAGCAGGGACAATCTCCTCCTGTACCAGTCAGGTCCAATTTGACAGTACACACACAAAAAAAATTTTTTTTAAACCCCTAAGTCAAAAACAAAACAACAACAACAAAAAAAACCCGCAAACCCCTAAGTCCAAAAGATGTACTCTGCTCAGATCTCTTCTTTCTTGGTGGTACTGTGATCCCTCTCTCCAGTTCCATTATATCTCTTTTTATCTAAGATAAAAGGTGATGGAGGCTATATCCCAGGGGAAAAGAGGCCCACACTCTTTTTCTTTAGAGAGGGTCATAACCTGAGTAAGGGTAAAATTACGTACATGCTCAGGGGTAAGTGTTTAAAAAAACTCTTCAGCTGTCTACCTAACACTTTACTCTATCAGTAAACCTCAATCCAAAAGTGCTCAGCTTTCTAACTCTAGTTCCTGGGTTCTAGCTCCATCAAGTGCCTGGAGGCCTCCCACTCCACCAAGGCTCCTACACCACATTGCATTGGTCACCACATTCTGCTGCCATCGTTTCTCTGCTGCTCCTGCCCAATGTATGTACTATCTCTAGAGTCATAGTTCTCCTAACTTTCTGCTAAGACTTTACCAGAATTGTCTTTGATGTTCATAGCTCCATCAACAAGTCTTCTCAAGATAATCTAGGCTTTTACAACTGTTAATTGTTATTAAGGGCTATCAAGTCAGTTTCAACTCATGTAAAAGAGAACAAGACACTGCCAAGTCCACCATTCTCATAACCTTTACAACATTTGAGTTCACTGTTGAAGTCACTATGTCAGTATACCTTGCTGCAACTCTTCCTCTTTTCTGTCAGACTCTCTGCTTTACCAAGCATGGTATCTATGTTGCTCTTTGATTACTAGTTAGAACTTTAATAAGTTATAATCAATAATAATAAGTATAATCAATTAGTGAGAAAAATCCTCAACAAGATAATCTGACATAGTTACTGTAACAATGGGCTTGAGAATATCTGATAGTGAGATGGTGAGAATAGGGCCGGGTTCCTATCTGCTGTTCACAGGGTTGCTGTTGCTGAGTCACAGTCAACTCAGTGGCACCCAACAATTAGTACACACAGCTCATACATACTCTAAAACTAACCTCTTAACAAATTCTATAGTCACACACCCAGAAACTATGTAACTAGTTAAGTCAGTATTTTTTTGCATATTTGTTTTGTTTGTTTCTTGTTGTGTACTGCAGTATTGAATCCAACCAGCACAGAAGGAGATTGCCCCTCCTTCTCCAGCTAAACAACTGGTGGATTTGAACCATGCACCTTGGGGATTGCAGCACAGCTTCTTGCCACTAGGCCACTAGAGCTCCCTCAAGCTAGTCTTTTCTAGCTTGTGTGAAATCATATTTTAAAAATGCTAGTTCAAAAGGTATATATAGCATATCAACTGTAAGAAAATAACAAAGGATGTCCAGGGAAAGGACAAGGTAGATGTTCTTGAGGAGGTACGTATAAGAGATTAGACAGTTCTCAAAGATCAAATGTTCATTACCAGTGATTCATCGGTCTTGTCAAAGCTGATATCTGATAAAACGGAGCCAGATTCATCAATGGTCGAGAGTCTAGATGAGTGAAACAATGCCGTATTAGATATAGAAATTACAGAAAGAAATAAGCATCAAAACTCAGAACAAATCTCAGTGAACAAGTAGCACCAGTATCTTCTTTATGAGAATTTCAAGTGCAAATCCAAGCTGTGATGGGTTGCTTTTTACAGTTTTCATGGGGGATTATATGTGTGTTAATGAGCATTCGTGGAGTACAACTGCTTTGTGACAAAGGCCATATAATATCAGCTGAAAGTTAAAGTCAGGGGTATAGGTGCTATTCTCTGCTGAGTTTATTATACAAGTGATTAAATATTCACAAAGCAAAAGAGTGAAGTTTAATTTGTCTGCCATTATGGTTGCTTCCTACAAGATAGAGTTAAATGTTAGTTTTTTTTTTACCAAGTGTTAGCTTTTTAAGAAATTAAGTAAGCCTGTACAGCTTCTTATAAAGATTCCCCATAAAACAACCAGGCAATAAAATAAATAGCTCTAAGAGTGCTGACCTTTCCCTCCTCATTGTATCGGGGGTATTAAATACAAAGCCAGGTTGAAACTATTTTAAACAGTGATGCGGTGGAACTAACATTATTGTCTGGTGTTGGCTCACAGAAGCCTTTCTAAACTAGAAAGAGTTACAAAAGCTCTCTGGAGAATAAACACTGAAAGTATTGCTGAACTGCCACTTTCACCTTTAGATTTCTTGGCAATGTGCAGGATTAGTTATTGATGTGCAACTTAGCAACAACAGTAAAACAACTTCCTAAGGAAAAATTTTAAAATAATATAAAATATAAAAACAAGAAAGAGGTCCCTATGCTTTTATTTCCTACCCTCCAACCAAACAAAGCCTTTCCATTTCTTTAAGCACACATTTCAGAAACCATGTATTTGAAAGTTCAGATAACAAGAACTTCTTTCTGACAGCTGTGTCGCTTGTGATCAGATAACAACATATGCAGTTCCCCTACCTTTTGTTCCCAGCACTGCCACTGGATGGTTGGCCCCTGTTGAGAAAAGCCAGAGCTGATTTTTGCTCTTCACTTAGTTGAATACTGCCAGATGTGTCACACATGAGCATTTCTCGAATCAGCTGAATCTGTCGTTCCTACAGACCACAGCAGAGTAAAACATTATCACTAGCCAAGGGAGAAAAGCATCACCTCAAATTTATGGGACAGGCAGACCAGAAGACATTAAAATACAGCATTATGCAAATGGGCCTTCAAGAAGACTGCTACACCAATAGCATATTAATTCACATCAAGCCCAGATTGTGTGTCTGATTTCTGACTGGTAAAATGAACTCCATTTAGAATAGTGAGGGTTTTGCTACAAGACTTGTGGATCAAAGTGCTAATCCAAGAGGGAAGTAATGCAAAATGAGGACCACAAAATAGATTTAGCATAGCAAAAACACTTTAGTGTTATTTTATCAGGACAATTATTGGTTTTCTTCTACAGATCAAAGCAGCCACCCACCTTTCTAAATGGTGGAGCAAACTGCATTAAAATGGATACAAAGCTGTAACCTACTAGAACCAGACAATTTGAGCTTACTGAGGCATCTAACACCATACCAAGATGGATTAGCCCCTCCTAGCAAAGGTTTTCCTCTGCTTCATGACCCATCTTAGTATATCAAAATGATAGTGTTCTATGTCAGTCACACTGCTCCAATAGTTGAATACATCTAGCCCTTTACTCTGAATTAAAAAGCAATGATAAAAGATTTAGAGGTGTTCTGCCTGTATCAATAACAAACTACTAGCTATTATAAGGATGAGGATATTCTAAAAGCAGCACTTATATTCACAGTAAGAAATGGTCAGTATCTGTGACAGATCAAGTACACTAGGAATTCCCTGCCTTTCTCTCATATTTTAATGCTCTTAATTCTCATTTTAAGTCTTACAAACATTTTCAAGTCTAAAGGAGAGAGAGAAAAAAAATTCATTTCAACCTATGAAGAATACAATTTCCAGGTTACAATTTCAGCTCCAATACTTTGTTACTGGAAAGACTGCTTTCAAAAAACTGGGGTACATCTGGTTTCTCCCTCCCTTGTGCTCCACCATCAGAAAACAGTACACACCAGCTTTTCACAGTCAGCTTCAGCCCGCTGTCTCCGTTTGATCTCTACATCCACCTGATTGCGTGCATGCTTCAGCTTAATATCCAGAGCACTACGCTCAGTCTCTGCTTTCATCAAAAGATCCTTGTATTGCCCCAGTTCATGGTCTGTTCTCTGCCACTTTTTACGAAAATCCTCAAAGTCCTTAGCCAACTGGATAAATTCTGAGGAAAAGAGGAAAATTTTAATAATTCAAGCACCAAATTGATAATAAATGTTTTAATAAATGGGTCCTATCATTAGCTTGACTCCAAACCCCTAACTAAAGGGTTAGCTGAACCAGTTGAAAAGAATCATATGCAAATCCTAGGATCTTAGATATATGGCTATCACTCCAGAAGAGAGATTTCTGGGGGAGGAATTCCTGTCTCAGTAGACCACTTATTTTTTGTTGTTGTTTATTTAGCCAGTGGCATCTGCTATGAAGTAAGTAACTCATTAGTCACGTGGCTCCAGATGTAACACTAACACTGGTAGTTCCTGAACAGAAGGCAATCAAAGGGGGATACCTTTTGGGCAGCTGTCACGCACCGGGACAGTTACAGCTATAAAACAAAAACAGCCTCCTTTACAGTCATGCATTGCTGCGCCAGAGAGATGTTAAACAGCAAATTCAAATGTAACTGCTGTAATATGCTCCAGTAGATGTAGATTAATATTATAGATGTCTAGGCTTGCAATCCCATTCAGCTATATAATTATACAAATATTGATTTGAAAGTAAACAGCCAATTTGCTTTTGCTGTTTAACACTGCCCTGAAGGGTATGTAAACATTCCAGTTGGAAAGACACAGGAAGAGAAGATACGAGCTTTTGGTGAGTCACTGATAGCAAAATGTGAACTCTTTTCAAATATCTGCAAGAAAAACCATTGCTTCCAAGGCAGCACTTCAAAGAAAGATAACCCTGGAAGGTTTCATTCTTATTATGTGCTATTGGCAAAGACTGCTTTTCTACAGTGTATTTGCAAAAGCACCTTACAATTTTCTAGATAACCTCAATCTATCGCTAAGCATCATTCTCAACTAGAATCATAAAAGAAGTTCTGCTGCTGGTCAAACTAACCCAGTTCACAGCTGCAACTAGGCCAAATTCACACACACAAAGCCAGCAAAAGCTTGGGCACTAAGAGTGCTTTTCTGATTTGAATTTAACCCAAGAATATGAGAAATAATTACTACCATTTTCTTTTTAAAGCAATTTAATCAATATAATTCAATTTCAAATGCACAAATTAAAATGCCAATTCATTCTTAATATCTTAAAAAATCAAGTCTTGGCCTAGTGGCAAGAAGGTGCACTGCAATTCCAGAGGCGCACGGTTCAAATCCACCAGATGCTCTGCCGGGAAAGGAGGGACAATCTCCTCCTGTACCAGTCAGATCCGATTTGATGGTACGTGTGCGCGCACACACACACACACACACACAATAATAAAATAATTAAAAAATTTTTAAAAATCAAGTCTTACATATAAATACCAGTTTTCAGCAAACCACAGATTTTCAGTCAAACAGAAAACTAAGACCAAGCTATTTTATATTTTAGCCAATGCAATCCTTATCCCAAAATAAAATATTACTAAAATTTAAATAACTTTAAATTATATGCTGGTTTAGTTAACAGTTTGGAACATTATTACCAGGTATTTTTAAAAGAAAATGAAAATAAGTAATATATCCTTTTGCAAATCTAACAATTTCAACATTATAGACTCAAAGTAGGGAAGGGAACCTGAAATCAAGAGCTGGTTACTTGTCTATATTCACAGACAATTCATCAAGCAATGTACTTTCCAGATGTAAGGAATGGTGAAGTTTCAAAAAAAATTAAAGAATAAGAAACATATGTTTCTACTGTAGTCTTAAAAACTTGCTAGCTCCACACTGTGGTTAACTAAATGATACTTCTAAATATAGTGGTGCATGAGAATAAAAAGGTTTTCAACAAATCTAATTTTGATGTTTGATCTTTAGGATACTTTGTGTCAAGTCTTAATTTGAATGGCTATTCCTATTCATTGTTACTTGGCATACTTTACAGGTTGAATCAAACTGGACTGTAAACACAAATTAATTCATTCCAAGGAAATAAATTCTATTTTAATAGACAAGTGGTTAAATTACTGGTTCAGTTACATTTATGTTAAATAAAACAAAATCAGCCATATGTGCACCTGATTAAAATATTCCTTTACATACAATTTCGTTATAAATCAAGGTTGTAGGACTGGGTCAAAAAAGGCACTTTAGATCAAAGATGGGGGAGGATCTTGGTTTGAGGGATTAATTAGTAAATATGGTATTCTTTGTCAGGGTGTGAACAGCAACTCTGCTTGGTTTATTCCATTTCAAGACGTTGTTGTTATGTGCCGTCGAGTCGTTTGTGACTCATAGCGACCCTATGTACAAAAGCCTTAAACCGTGCTTTATCCTGTGCCAATCTCATTGCCTCTGACACACCCATCCCGATTACCCCAGTCACTGAATCAATCCACCTCATAGAGGGTCTTCCCCTCCTGCGCTGTCCCTCTCTAAAGACCTGTCTCTCCTTACAACATGTCCAAAGTATGTCAGACGAAGCCCCAGAATCCTTGCCTCCAAGGAGCAGCCTGGTTTAACCCTCTCCAGGACAAATCTGTTTGTTTTCTTGGCAGTCCATGGTACATTCAATACTCTTCTCCAGCACCACAACTCAAAGGTGTCAATTCTCCTTCTATCCTCCCTAGTCATTGTCCAATTCTCTGATGCATAACAAGTGATTGCAAAAACCATGGCCTGTATCAGGCGCACCTTAGTCTCCAGAGAGACAACATTGCTCTTGAGTACTTTAAAGAGGTCCGTAAACACAGACTTTCCCATCGCAATACGTTTTTTGATTGCCTGGCTATTGGTGCCAAGAGTGTTGACCGTGGAGCCGAGCAAACTGAAGCTGTGAACAATCTCAATCTCTTCGCCATCCATCCTGATGCTACCGATTGGTCCAGTGGTGAGAATCTTTGTCTTCTTGACATTGAGCCTCAGTCCATATTGAAGGCTGCAGTCCTTGACCCTCTGCAGTAAGTACATGAGGTACTCCTCAGTTTCAGCAAGCAGGGTTGTGTCATCTGCATAAAGCAGATTGTTGATATATCGTCCACCAATCCTAACACCACGCTTCTCCTCATAGAGCCCAGCCTCTCGGATAATCTGCTCTGCATATAGGTTGAAAAGGTATGGAGATAGGACACATCCGTGGCGTACACCCTTCCCAATTTTGAAACAGGCAGTGTTGCCCTGCTCTGTTCTGACGACTGCCTGTTGGTCCACGTATAGGTTTCGCATTAGCACGATTAAATGTTCTGGGATTCCCATTCTTCTCAGAGTCAGCCACAGTTTGTTATGATTCACGCAGTCAAATGCCTTTGCATAATCAATGAAACACAGATAGACATTCTTCTGGTATTCTTTGCTTTCAGCTAAGATCCATCTAACATCAGCTACAATATCCCTAGTACCACGACCCCTTCTAAACCCTGCCTGGACTTCTGGCAGTTCTCTGCTGATGTACTGTTCCAGTCGTTTTTGGATAATCTTCAGTAGAATCTTGCTTGCATGTGAAATCAATGATATTGTTCTGTAGTTTCCAGACTCAGTTGGGTCACCCTTCTTTCAAGACGTACACTAAACAAAATACATGTATATACACATATACTAAACTATACCCAAAAGAAAAGCACATATATCAAAAAGCAGGAAAAAAGTCTTTAAAACACATTGAGAATAATCTTGAATTCATTTAAAAAACATTCAGAAGTTAGTTCATAGTTCAGCAAGTAAATTAAAGCAGTTCCAGAAATCCTCATCTTTTTTCAGTTGATTCCACTGGGTCTCTGCACAGACTCTTTGTCTTCCCTACTACCCTTTAAGCTTCTTAAGGATAGAAATAGAAACCCTTCTCCGCTCCTTTATCTCGTGCCTCGCACTCTGTCTAGCATATAACAGCCACTCAAATATTTACTGAATGACTTGCTATCCAGATCAAATTTATACTCCAGTCACCCATACTCATCTCACCAATCTAATCAACATTTACTTCCCCAAAAACCAAATAAATAAATCCTCTCTAGTTAAACCCATTTTGTCCCTGCTCCTAGAACAGTCCTGTGTTCATTTGTGCCTTCACATTTGTAGTACACTACCTATTCTTTCTTATGTGCCCATTTTTTTTCAAGTTCCATCTGCTCTACAAAACCTTTTCTAATTCATTTGGCCTATGTGAAATTTTTCTGTATTTCACAAATATATATTTTGATACTTGTATTCTTTTCTGTTTCATGATGACGAAACCTGTTTCCAAAACAGAAATATCATAATGTTCTTAAAAACCAAAAGGGAACTCTGGTGGCCTAGCGGTAAGAAGGTGCACTGCAGTCTCAAAGGTGCACAGTTTGAATCCACTAGCTGCTTGACAGGAGAATAGGTAATTCTATTCTGTACAATTAATCGCCTCTGAAAACCCACTGTAGGGTAGCTCTAAGTCGGTTTTAACTCAACAGTATATAATAACAATTGTACACAGTATAGCACAAACCAAGAATGGTGCTGATGTTTATTTCTAATCCATACACTATTAAAAAGCTCAGGCAACTCACAAAATATAGGAAACAAATGCCATGTAGATTGAAGAAAATAAATATAGCAAGGCTATTAATTTTATTTTAATATTAACTTCTCACTCTGATCTTTCGGTATAATTAGACTTAGCTTTTAAGAACTATATAAAACAGAAAAAAGAATAAAGCAATGATGAAAGGCAATAATAAAGGAGCTAGGAGATACTGAGTCACAAGAGAAAGAAAATCCTAGAATCTCAAAAACACTTGGCAACTTTAATTTCTCAAAAATCAACAATCCAAATAAGGAACTGGGAGGGTTGGAATTTTATGAAACAAATCACAAAGAAGGTAAAATGTACTTAAAGGAAATTTGCTTGTAAAATAAGAACCCATCTTTCTCTTGAGGAGTAGCTGGGAGATTTGCATAGTCCACCTCTGGGCTGGCAATGGAGTTCCCTATTCACCAAGCTACCAGAGCTCCCTATAAAAAAAAAAGTATCTGGGAGGGCTGGGCAGGGAGAACAGTACAACAATGAATGAAAGGAAATCCAAAATCTCTGTAAATGTTCATTAAAATTAATAAAACAATTTTTTTAAAAAAGTCTCTTTAATTTTTGTATGGGATAATAATTTCTAAAAGCATTTTCACAAGTAAATTTTTTTTAATTTCCATTTACCCCTAAATCCTCATGGCACATCCAAAAAATAAATAATAATTTACTTCCTAGTTTGCAGATGGAGAAAGAGACACAGAAATAGCAGTTAGAAGTCAGCATGAGTTACTGAGATGTCAAACCTTTGTTCCCATAGCCTATCAGCTGCCTCTCCCTAGTGATCCACTCATTTTCCCTTATTTCCATCTTTACAACTATCATTCCATTTGGTGCTCTTCCTGCCTCTTGCCTGAGCTATGGCAAGTATCATTTAATTTCCCAGTCTCTGCCTCTAACAAAGCCAACAGCTCTGCCAAGTTAATATTCCAAAAACACAGCTCTCCATTAAGGCTTCTATCAATCCATTAAGGGTTGATTTGTTTCTCCTAAAAGGTATGTGCAAGTTCTACCTCTCAGTAACTAGGAGTTTATTTGGAAATGGATATGATTTGTCAATATGAGATGGTAAGGTGGGCTCTAATGGAAAATGACTAGCAAAAAGGACAGAGGCACACAGAGGGAAGAAAGTCAAGTGACAACAGATGCAGAGACTAATACATCTACAAAGTGAGAAATGCCGAACAGCCAGCAGGAAACCACTAGGAAAGAAAAAAGACTATCCCTCAGAGCTTCCAAAGGAAATCAGCCTTGCCAGAATAATGACTTGGGACTTCCTGCTTCCAGAACCATAAGAATAAACTTTAAACCACCCAGTTTACAGCACTCTTGTTACAACAGAGCTGTTGCTGTCTTTGAGTTAGAAGCAACTCATAACTGACCCTTCAATGGGTTTCCATAGCTGTAAATCAGAGAGGGGATTGTTTGTCTTTCCCTCTTGGAACCCCAAAGGGATTCAAACACTGAGAGAGGGCATGCATGGCAGAGGCCATCAGAACTGCCAACAATAGCCCTACAGAACAAATAAATTCCCTCCTTACTCCTATTCCCCCTCAAACAAAAACTCATACCTCAACTCCTATTATTCCTTCCTTGACCCAAATGCCCTCTTTCATTTCCGATTAGATCCTAACCTGTATCTAAGGCTTAACTCAAATCCATGAAGTCATCCATTCATCTTTTCCCTCAACTCAACATGTGCTAGACATTGTGACAGGCTCTCACTAAACATCTGCTAAATGAGTAGTTTTAAGATCACTAGAGAAGGGTGGACAATCTCCTCCCATGTGATTAACTGCCTCTGGAAACCCAGCAGAGGGTCATCTATGGGTCGATTCTGACTTGATGGCCCACAACAATTCAATACTCTTCCTACTAGCTCCAAAGTCATTCATGTTGAGATGATATGATCTCAAAGAGAAGCCTACTTAGTATGCCATCACAGCTGCTGAGCTGATACCAGATTGACAGGGTCATGCAGCAGCTATTAGAGAAAAAAACAGAACATTGTTTTGAAAGGTCTGTAAGTGGGCAAGAGCTATTAAAAATATCAAATTAAAGAAAATATGGAAAAGCCTAACCAAGATGCAATACTAGGTAATGTGGGGATACAAAGTTGTACAGTTAAAAAGATAAATAATTTTTGCATTACAAGTGAGGATGAGAACAATATTGACTAACTGAGGTATCAATAAAGATATGATCTAGAAGAGGATGGTAGCACATTGGAGAAGATGGTGGAGAATACTTTTTTAAGATCACTTAAATCAGTTCTAATAGCACTCTCTACCTCCTTCTTCTTGCTAGACTGTCCCTTCTATTAATACCTCATTTTTCTCCCCAACATTAACCAGGTCCTTTACCTAAATATCAATTATGTGAAAGTATATGACTGGTTCCTTCTATAAAAATAAATGTCATTTCAACGCCCCCCCCCCTTTCTCCAATTGAAAATGTTTTCTAGAACACAAGGAAATCCCAGGATTTTTTTTTTACCAGTTCAAGTATGTTTATTTGTGGTGAAAGGACACACTACAATCTATTTAATGCTGGCTGGCCACTGCAGTGATAAGGGGGCAAAGGGAAGATAGGGAACCCGAGCTCCATGATGACTAAGGCAGAACCTTCTGGAAGGTTCTTCCCTTGCCTCTCTCCAGGGCAGACATAAAAATTACAGATAACCACTGATTCAGTATAGAGGAACATAGAGGTTGGCTTTGGTGCCCAGCCTACTTCAGCACGGAGGTCAGAAGCCGTCAGCAGACAGCCTCATGGGTGTGGGGTATGTGGGTGACCCCAGCATCAAACCAGTGGGCTGGGCATTGCCATGAAACCACATCTGCTCCATCTTCCTTCTCCTCTTGAGGACCCCGTGGTGGTGCCTTGTGACTTTGGGGCGGTTCTGCCCCAGTCCTAGCTGCTTCAGAGGCAGTGGGCAGTAGGGACTCTGAGGGCAGATGGTAGAAAGAAGCCACAGAAGTGCAGGAAGGATATGGGCTGTGTGCTGTGAGCTCACTGCGGACATGGTCAGGGTCCCCCAGGCCCAGGCAGGCTGGGAGCCCTTGGAGCCATGTCCTCAGCCCAGTTCCCAGCCACAGGTCTGTGAAGGGGCCTCCACGATGCGATGGACAGCCCTCTCTCATCTCTGGACAGCATGCAGCAGTTGGGATGGCTGAAACAATCCTCGGTAGCCAAAGGCCTCAGGAGGTAGCCTACAGCTCTGGCTCCTTAGTGTGCACTGTCCGCTAGCCAGCTTCTCAGGAGGAGCTAGGCTGCTGGACAAGGGTGGGCATCTCCTCCACCTTGTGCCCTGATGTTCTGAGACTCTGCTCCCACCTTGACAGTCTGGTGTGGACACTGATGGTCCTCCCTCTGGGCAACACACCTGACAGTGGACAATGTCAAGGTGGGGTGGGGGTGGAGTGACGTGAGGCCCTCTCTGGCCTCGGGACAGAAGAAAAAGCCACAGTGAAGGCAGCATCGAGAGCAGGTCAGAGGGGGTGTGTCTGGAAGGTGGGGCCTGTAGAGGTGTGAGCAGGAGGCACCTGTTGGAGGCTACACTCTGGTAGTGCCTGATGCTGCTCCCGAGCCCACGTAGCACCAGGCCTGCAGCAGGGGCAGGCCGATGGGCTCCTTCCCAGGAATCTTCAGGGGCCAGACCGACAGGGGGCAGCCTCACATGGTCCGGCTGTACTCGATGCTGCCCTTGGCTGAGAGGCTGGACCAGGGAAGGAAGCTGCAGAGCAGGCTGTGGGCCTGGCGGTAGAGCCGTTGGGGAATGGCGCAGGGGCTCAGGCTGGCGAAAGGGGAGCCCAGGTGCTGGATGTAGTCCAAGATCGTCCATGGAGGGTGGCCACCATTGATGTAGAGGACGTAGGTGAAGCCATCTTCGAGGACCCCCCGGATGGAGTAGTAGTAGGGCAGATAGTGGTGCTGCTTAAAGTCTCTGTTCTCATAGAAGTTTATTGCTGTGTTGTTGGTGGTGAGGACGTGTAGGTAAATGGCTTTACAGTGGTCCTGGGCGGTGGTCGATATATGATCCTTCAAACTTTCAAGTAAAAGGGAGCCTATGCCGTGCTTCCGGAACTCCTTCACTACTCTCAGACTCAGGATGTATGCAACCTGGGTGTCCACAGAAAAGCTGGAGGCTAGAATATCTCCATCCTCTTTATGTATCTTGGTCCTACTTTTGATCTCAGCTACTATCATTCCCACGATGGCACCTCTGTATGTGGCAGCGAGGGAGAACTTCTTGTTGGACGTGAAGTCACGATACCATGAGTCTGGGTACTCGATGGGGAACCAGTCGCCACAGAGATGCTTGACGGTGTCTATGTCATCATGGCCCAGGAGGCGCAGGCTGACCTCACCAAGGGCACTGGACGGTACCACCTCTGTCATTCACACCTTCCCCCAGGTCCACGCCACTATGCAGCTTTCGCTCTGGACTCCTTGGACGGGAGCCGGCGGCAGCAGAGGGCAGCGTGGGGCTCAGTGCATTCTGGGGTCGCAGGGAGCCGCAGAGTGGGGTCGTGTGGACACTGCGACGTATTATGTAACCGTCAGGGCCCGCAAATGGGACGAAGGCGGTGGACCGCGGCACTTCTGCCTCCCGCTCCCGGAAATCCCAGGATTTAAAAAAATTTAACTATTACTCCAAAAGAAAAAAGCAATATTCTTAGAGAAACTCAGTAAACTTTGCCCACTTTCTGGTCCAAATATATTACTAATAACTAATGACAAGTATTCAGTGGAAACACTACCTTGATAATGAAAAAGTCTGGGTGAAAGCCATTTAAAAATGACTAAAACAGTGGAGACTCTGGTGGCCTAATTAGCTGGGAGCTGCACTGCCAACCCAAAGGCAAGATGTTCAAATCCACCAGCTGGCTCTGTAAGAATAAGATGGGCAATGTCCTCTCTGATGAAAAGCAAACCGTTAAAATTTTTTGAAGAAAAATGACCATGTAAAATGAGTGCCCATTAAGCTTTGACCATGGCTAAGTGACCATGATTTTTTTCTTTTTCTTTAAAGATAATCCCAGTAAAATTAACTCTACAACTGGAATAAACTTCAGCACTTCAGCTTTATCGAAAATCCAAAACTAAGACTTATTTTTTTCTTTGCACAGGCCACATCAGAATGACTTACGGAGCTCATTTCCTTCACTGAGAATCTCCACCCGGCGCACAAGCTGCTCAAACAGATTCCGCAAATTCAGCATCATAGACTCCATCTTTCTGCCAAGAAATCAAATATACATTAGGGGTCTTGCCTTTTCCTCTACAAAAAATAGCCATGAGCATAACCACCACATAGACTCCTCCATTTGTAGCTACCGTCACAAGAATCTCAAGCCAATAACTGATGTTTTATGTGATCCTTATTATAACAAAGCTGAAATATTTAAGGCTCCTTTGAAATGCATTTAATAGATCTCTGGAGATAAAATCCCCTTCTTGACTTCTTTTCTCTCCTTTGCATTCATTTTGGAGCTGAGTGGTAAACAATTTGGAAACAGCATATTAGTTGATTACTAGATGACCAACTACTGAATCTGGTACTTAAACTCAAGTCTATTGACTAATATACAACACTTTTGCTCCTTTAATCCATCTAGTCTTTGAAGACCTTCAATGTAACTTAAAGGGTTTTTTTTGTCTACGGCCATACCACCCTGAACGCGCCCGATCTCGTCTGATCTCGGAAGCTAAGCAGGGTCGGGCCTGGTTAGTACTTGGATGGGAGACCGCCTGGGAATACCGGGTGCTGTAGGCTTTAAGAAAGAAAAGAAGGAGAGAAAAAGAAGAAAAAAAAAAAAAAAAGAAAAAAAAAAAGAAGGGTTTTTTTTTGTTGTGTGGGTTTTTTTGTTCGTTTTTGTTTTTTTCATTTTTAGCTAGTACCCCTGCTCCAACTGCCTTTTAAAACGCAGGACATGGTCAGCACATTTCTACCAACGGCACAGATGACGTCACACGAGTGATTAAGTGGGGAAATCGCCAGCTCAGCAGCACAAGAATTATTTCTGTAATGCAGGGCTCTCTGCTGGACTGCGTGCAGGGACTATGTCTAATAAATTTATACTAAGTATAGGCAAAGGATTATGTTGTACCACATTCTGGCAGCAGAGAGACAATACACCACCTTCACAGTTAGAAGGGCAAAGGAAAAATCATTTGCTATTGTGTCCTATGCAGTGAATTTCAGGCTTCATCCTCCAGCCCCCAAAGACCTGCTAATAGTACATTAAAAACGGTGTCCTTACAGACTCTTCTGTTCCAAATAAACTTTAATTGGGAACACCTTGAGGAAATAAGAGCTTCATTTAATGGTCAAGAAAGACATCAGCTGGCTGTTATAAAAATCATCTCATGGAAATTAAATAAAAAACCAAATTCCATTTGAAAATCAAATGTCCTCAGAAATATCACTAAAGGATTCTTCTTTATGTTTCTTCTAAACAGGCTCCTTCAACACTGTAGTGCAGGTCCTTATTTCACACATCTAAATAAATTTTAAGAACCCTTTTATGAAGATTTAGTGATTTTACTGTTTATAGATTTAGTGATTCAGTGTTCATACAACACAGATTGTATCCTAAACTGTGAGGGTAAGAAGGAAATGGGAAGAACAAAGAAAGGACAAAAGGAATATTTAGGAACATAAAGCTATTTTCTACTAAATGCTACAACATTATCTACTTCTACTTATATTATTTCAAATAGCAAAAATGCTTCCAATTCCAAGCCTGAATGCAATATATACCTGAATCAGGGCTGGAAATGATAATTTTCAAATACTAATCTATTTATCTAAACTGCTGTCTGTTGTTGTTTATCATAACTGGCCCGTCCGTGGGATTTCAGAGGCAGTGAATCACACAGGAGGAGATTTGCCCATCATCCTGTGGAGCAGCTGGTGGCCTCGAACCACAGGCCTTCAGGATTGCAATGCAGCTTCTTGCCACTAGGCTACCAGAGGAATGTCTATCTGTGTTTCATTGACTATGCAAAGGCATTTGACTGTGTAGATCATAACAAACTGTGGCTGACTCTGAGAAGAATGGGAATCCCAGAACACTTGATCGTTCTAATGAGAAACTTATAATTGGACCAGGAGGCAGTCGTCAGAACAGAGCAAGGGAACACTGCATGGTTCAAAATTGGGAAGGGCATACGCCAGGGATGCATCCTATCTCCATACCTTTTCAACCTATATGCAGAACAGATTATCTGGGAGGCTGGGCTCTATGAGGAGAAATGTGGGGTCAGGATTGGTGGATGATTTATCAACAATCTGCGTTATGCGGATGACACAACCCTGCTTGCTGAAACTGAGGAGGACCTGAAGCGCCTGCTGCAGAGTGTCAAGGAATGCAGCCTACAATATGGATTGAGGCTCAATGTCAAGAAGACAAAGATTCTCACCACTGGACCAATCGGCAGCATCAGGATGGATGGTGAAGAGATTGAGATTGTACACCGCTTTAGTTTGCTTGGCTCCATAGTCAATAGTCTTGGCACCAGCAGCCAGGAAATTAAAAGGCGCACTGCGATGGGAAAGTCTGCTGTTAGGGACCTCTCCAAAGTACTCAAGAGCAGTGGTGTCTCTCTGGAGACTAAGGTGCATCTGATACAGGCCATGGTGTTCGCAATCACCTGTTATGCATCAGAGAGTTGGACAATGACCAAGGAGGATAGAAGGAGAACTGATGCCTTTGAGCTGTGGTGCTGGAGAAGAGTACTGAGAATACCATGGACTGCTAGGAAAACAAATAGATTTGTCCTGGAGAGGGTTAAACCGGGTGGCTCCTTGGAGGCAAGGATTCTGAGGCTCCGTCTAACTTACTTTGGACATGTAGTGAGGAGAGACCGGTCCTTAGAGAGGGACATCATGCTTGGGAGGGTGGAGGGATGGCGCAGGAGAGGAAGGCCCTCTATGAGGTGGATTGATTCAGTGACTGGGATAATTGGGATGGGAGTGTCAGAGACAGTGCGATTGGCACAGGACAGAGTGGAGTTTAGGGCTGTTGTACATAGGGTCGCTATGAGTCGCAGGTGACTCCACGGCACATAACAACAACAACAACAACAATCTATTTGTTCCAAAATCATAGCAAGCTGCTAAGCAACCAGATCAACAAATGTATTACAAAGATCTTTTTCTTATCTAATAACAAAACTCAAAGAATAGCATTAAAACTGACAGGAAGAAACCCTGAAGTCCTGGAGATGCCTATGGCCTTAAGAATAAGACAAAACAGGCTAACACACCAAATCTATATAGCAGAGGCATTCTGTAGGAGGACATTCAGGAGCCAATTCAAATAACTATTTCCTTTGGGTATAAGTGGAAATGGAAGGCATTCAGCAGTAGTTTTAACATGGTGAACTGATTTCTATTATTTCAGCACTTATCTGTATACTAAGACTCCATGACTGAGCGTGGTACACAGGAAAAGTTTTAGCCACCTAGGGAATGCAGAAAAGATAATTTCCTCATTACAACTGCTATACCTGTTGTTGGGTACTCTCAAAGCAGACTACAACTCATAAAGACTTGAACCAACAAATGTGATTCTTGCCCTATCCTGCACCATCCTCACAAATTCTGATATACTCAAGCCTGTTATAGTCACTCTATCAATCCATCTTGTTGAGGGTCTTCCTCTCTCTGACCCTCTCCCTTTCCCAGCAGGGTGTATTTTTCCAAGGACTGGTCCCTCCTGCCGAAAGAAAATCAACTGTTTAAAAGGAACAGAAAAAGAGAAGTCTTTTTTCCAGAATGTTTTTACATTTTAAATGTTAAAACAATCACTTATCCTTAAAAATACCCTCACATTTTCTCACATTCCTTTTATTCTTTTCCTTTTTCTTCGTATATCCCACTCCTTGAAGTATGGGCTGGGTGGAAGGAGAGGTAATCTCTTAAAAATCCAGATTCTTGAAAAAGCTAAAATCTACATGCCCCTGCTGCCCCTCTGCTTCTACCCTCAAATTCTGGTAACCAGACTGAGTTTTAGACTAAATTATCATTATTAATTTTTCTTTATTCTTTCCTTTCGACATCAGACATTTCTCAATTTAATCTTCCATATTCCCTAAGAACATATTAAACTACTCCACTTTAATCTCTCTCCAAGGTTAGCCTCTCTCCTAAATTTAATGCTCAAGTTCTCTTTCAACTTGTCTGGATGTCTTTGATGTTGAGTAGGATTTTAAGACTTTCTTCTACCCTTATCCCTCATCAATCACAAACTGACGCTCAATTTTGAGATCTCTATTTTTATCATTCTCTTCATCAAGTCAGTTCCAAACCTTAGCCTCCTCAGTTCTTCCCTTTCCTAGAAGTGTGGTCATCAAACCTGTAGCCTTTTCTCTTTTATGTATGGTTTCCTATTTTTTCCATAACTTGCAGGCTGACACTATTCACCATCATTCATTTCAACTGCCTTCCTTGTCTGCAGTCTTTCCTCCACGGTTTTGCTCAGCTGGCCCTCAGGCACATACAACAGTGTACTCTAATTTGACTCCCTGTTTCTACCATATGTCCCAGGCAGATTATAACTTCTTGAGAGAACACTTACATTTAGCACTTAAGTATTAAACATACATATTTTATCACAAGCCTACCAAGTAAAAAATTTTTAAAATTTGTGATTTGAGTTAAAGTTTAAAAAGCATATTCATTTTTCATTCTGTAATTCATATATTTTTATAATACTCATAATACCTGATCATCCTCTTATTGTATATTATCTTTCATTTAATCCATCTTAGTGTCTATTACCTATTCACTAATTTTTATTCCCGTTCTCTCTTCATATCCATAGTAACGATCTAAAATTAATTGTGTGTTGCCACCCAAGCAGATGTATATGCACACCCAAGTTTATCGCGACTTTGTTCACGGTAGCAAAGAGTTGGAAACAACCTAAGTGCCCATCAACAAACAAACGGACAGAGCAGCTCTGGTATATTCACACAATGGAATGCTATGCTGCATTGAAAAACAAGGAACTCATGAAATATTATTCAAAATGGGTGACCCTGGAGGACATTATACTGAGTGAAATATCTCCATCAAAAAAGGACAAATACTGCATCGTGCCACTGTTGTAAAACAGGACTGGCATTGGAGCTGGAGGGAGACTGAGAAAGATGGGATAGATTATGTATACTGCATTGAAACAGATGAGGTTGAGAACTGTTTAAAAGGGATATATGATTAGTCCAGAACAAGGC